GCCCAATCGTGCCGAAACATTATCGACGCAATGTCTTCAACACATTGCACAAACTTTCGCATCCAGGTGTTCGTGCAACCATCAAGCTTATAGCAGAAAGGTTTTGCTGGCCTGGAATGAATAAAGACGTGAGGGAGTGGGCACGCTCCTGTGTAAGCTGCCAAAAATCTAAGGTTATCAGACACAATAAATGTCCCTTAGGCTCGTTTAAAACTCCCGATGCTCGTTTCGACCATGTTCATCTGGATTTGGTAGGACCTTTACCAGATTCAAATGGATACTCTTATCTCTTAACCTGCGTAGACCGTTTCACTCGATGGCCAGAAGCAGTACCTATCAAGGACATCACTGCTGAAACAGTGGCTCGCACCTTCGTCGAACGATGGGTAGCAAACTTCGGCTCCCCTTCAACCATCACTACAGACCGCGGACGTCAATTTGAATCTGATCTTTTCCGTCGTCTGACCACTCTTTTAGGAAGCACTCGCTTCCGAACGACCGCCTACCATCCACAAGCAAACGGGTTGGTAGAACGTTTTCACCGACAACTGGAGGCTTCGCTATCAGCTGCAAACGTTTCACAGTGGACGGACGCTCTTCCACTTGTCTTACTAGGTATCCGCAATGCAGTGAAAGCTGACATTGGATACACTGCGGCTCAACTCGTTTATGGAATGACACTTCGACTTCCAGGAGAATTCGTGGATCCTTCGTCCTTTTCAATGAACATGGATCTAACCTCCTACACGAACAGGCTTACAAACGCAATGCGTTCAGTTAAACCTGCTTTCACTCGACCTCAATCAACTGATGTTTTCGTTCAACCTGACTTACGATATAGTACACACGTTTTCGTTCGTCGAGACTCGCATCGACGACCATTCGAATCAGCATACGAAGGACCCTTCAAAGTTCTTCAACGTGAATCTAAGTACTATATAGTCGATAAGAACGGAACCAACGATAACATCAGCATCGATCGCTTAAAAGCAGCGTATTTAGAAGGAAATCCTATCTACGTGGATTTTCCTTCGGTACAATCGAACGACACGACTCCGACACTTATAATACCTCATCCGACAACCAACACACACGATACTTCGACAGTATCCGAAAATAAACTTAAAACGACGCGTTCTGGAAGAAGGGTGAGATTTCCAGAACATTTAAACGACTATTGCACGTAAGGCACTTCTCGACATTTTATATTATTTTTTTTTTTAAAAAAACAATTTTAATATGCTTATATATTTTTATTTCTATTTAAAAAAACAAACAAAAAAAACAATTTTTTAAACGCTATTACGTGTTCATGAGTTTATTTTCCTTTTTTTTTCCGCCGACATTGCGTTTTTACACACATACGAGTGTATTTTCGACATGCACTTACATTTTCTTTTTTCTTTTCCAGGACGGCTGGAAAAAGAACGATGACGTTTATGAGGATCCGAAATTTTCCTTGTACATTTTCTTTTTTTACTATGTCGTACCTCCGTCCCATATAGTAAGGAAAGACGACCAGACGCTGCTAAATTTAGTAAGCTATCAGAAGAGTGTTTACCAACGACAAACTCGTTGGGTTTAAACTTCTGGCTGGCCACGTCTTAGGGTCGTCACTGCCCCACTAGGGGGGGAGTGATCTGTAGCGGTAAATAAATCCCCAAAATAAATAGCCCTAAGTTGTCGACATTGGATGCTGACCATATGTTTTAGTGGACTCATCTAGCTGAAGGCGCTCGGTTTTGCATCCGCACCAGATCACGTGTGGTAACGCCGTGCTCAACATCAACCGCAATCGCTGTCCAGATTAGATCAGAGAATTCCGATATATTGGTCATCGCCAAATATACTCTTCCGATCTTCGCGACTCTGTCTTTTGATTTCTCTGGGCGGGAACGAAATATATTAGAAGGTGTTACTGGTAGAAGCGTTGTCAAACACTGAATACCTGTGACATCATCATGGGTATATCGGTATTGATTTCGAAAAGACCCAGACTTCCGACAACTATAGATGAAGTCACAGATGCTACCAATCTATTGCAGAGGGTTTGTTATGAAAAATATGCCATATAGCAGTAATAGAGGGGTTGTAATCATTATGCAGTGTGTTAGAGCAAACTTAACATTGAAAAGCCGGAAATCCGCTACCAGTGTGTAGTGTATGTTTGCTGTTTTGGCCATAAAAGGAAGCCGAAGTGTCATGATCAGGGAGTAAAAAGGTAATTAACTGTTATTAAGCTCACTTTTTTATAGATCATATTTCACCACTCGCAAATTTGTGTTTTCTTACGGTATGATGTCAACTGGTACCTAATATGTTCACCCTTACGATGAAAAGTACCTGCAAATTTTCACCTTCATATTCGAATTATTTTTCGACAACTGTCTTACAGTCTGAGTGCTTCGTACGCCCCGAGATCTCTATTTCTACAACATTCGTAGTTCCAGTATAACTTTCTCACGCAGTAAGTTCAAATTAGACACTAGTCTTTCTAAATAAGCCTGTTAAGCTAATATCCGTATTCTCTATTTAAGTTAATCGATGAAGACATGTACCACGGGTATCTGCTGTATACTGTCATTTTACTCCAATTCCAACTGTTATATCTTACTTTTGAATAATAAAATTGCTATATACAGCAAATACAGACTTATTTGTTTTGATGAAGGTAAAGGGGTTCATGGGATTTTCAGCAGGACCGTATTAATATTCTCACTAAGGAGCTAAGCGAGTGCGTAAACCAGTGTAAGGTACCATACGGGGTGCATTTTGGTTACTAGTGTTCCATTAGTGCGAGTAGGGGCATTGCTTGCTTGTCATATGGCATTTGAATTAGAAGCTATAAGATAAGACGCAGGTACGGTTAGGATGTGTAACGCGTGTCAATCCATCAGCTGTTGTGACAACCCATGGTGGTTAGAATAAGTTATGAGAGGACCCGAGTATGTAAGTCTCACAAGAAAATGACGAAGATATGCACCAAATCACCTTATGAAAAGCGCCTCCAATCACTTAACCTCTACACATTAGATTATAGACGTCTTAGAGGTGACCTAATGGCTTACAATAACCCTAACAATTCCCCTAAAACACCTACTTAAGCTTAGTCCTAGAAACCAGCGACACAACATAGCAGAACGCACTGTAGACGCAACGTCTACTCCTTAGGAGGTGTCAAATGCTGGGATCCGCTGCCCGCCGAGCTAGTCCAAGCGACTTCCCAGGAGTTCTTTAAGAGGCAAGTGGATCTATTCTTAAGGATAGTATCATACTATGATTTACCAATTTCTCTTTCCTCGTTCATTGTTAACATACCTAGGTTCCTGCCTGGAGGTTTTGGTGACTCCCCGCTACTAGACACGGAAGCCTGTTAAGCGAAAGCTTCTATTCAGTCCACAACCATTTGAACACATGAACTAAGTGCTGAGAGGCTCGCTTATCACAAGTTTCTTGCAACGATTAAGTAGATAAAACAAAGTAGCATTAGGTTCAAAAATTTATTCAAGAACTTTCATTAAGAATCGAATATCAAACAAAGGTTTAAACCAAGTTCCCGTTTAAAAGTTGTATTGGTAATGTTAAGCTGCAGTTTTTGTTGTCTTTTTCCAAACGAAAGAGTAAAAGTCAAAAAATACTGGAAGTGGTTGTGAGACTAAAATGGAAGTCCAGCATCCATTTTGTCATCTGCTGTTCGTTGGATCTCCCGTAAACAGTTCCATAGGGCCATAGTTCTAAGGGCGAAACAGTTTTTATGATCTGTGAAGACTCACTCCTGTTGCATTCTAAATGAAAAAATGGTGATGAATTTAGTCAGAAATGTGGAATAGATAAATAACCAAATTACATGTTTCTTAGCAAAGAATTTATGCAGTTGTGATTTACCTTGAGTTCATCAATATTAGATAAGGTCAGCTACTATTACTTGCGCAAAGCATAACATGGGCTTAGTACCGTATTGCAATGTTTTTATTATTTTGCTCCTATTTAAGTATTCTCATGCATCTGTGTCTAGTTTAACAGGACAGCATACAAGCAGAGTAAGTGTCTGATAATCTAAAAGTCCCAGTTGTCAAAAAGATTCTTAACATTTGTCCACAGCCAGCTGCATTTAATTGAGACACAGAACACTCATCTTCTAAGACTGTATACTGCTGTTTTGCGGGCAACTAAAAGCTCAGACACTTAGCTATCTTGCTACCGATGTTATTGCCTGGGAAATTGTTTGGTGACAGTTATCATGAAATATTGTCAGTGACAGATGTACAGTTTAGAAATAAATACCAAACATATATTTATAGCGATAAGTATACTTATCGCAACCTTATAATGTATGACAGCAACAGCATCAAAGGCACGTTTTTTCCTATTTTTAATCAGACTGATCTGAATCCGTATACACATTAGAAACAGGCAACTCTACTTACTAAACTGATCTGTTTCGTTACAGGCTTCAAGCACAATGCTTAAGTATATCATAATTCTTTCAACTAAACTGAATTATACGACAACAACGAACACTAAACTAAGCAATTGTCATAGTTATTGTTTCACTTGCAAAGACATGTTGCTCAAAGAAGTTAAACGGACATAATTAAGCCGATAAAACCAAAGCACGAAATATAGGCCAGTTGAACTTACCTAAGAAAAAAAGAAGGATACATATATACTGCTTTAAAGCAGTATTCAGTATGAATTCATACTGAAGACAACAGGGAGTTGATCATAGAAACACAGTTTACAGTACAACAAACCTTTCTTCAGTAAAATCATGCACTGAAAGTCTATCTGGAAACAATCAACTATGTGAATAAACTCACTATGACTTGAGATATCATCTCAGCGTGCAATGGACCTATAGTGTAACGCAGTCGGACGTGGCGAATAAAAATTAAAAATAGAGAAAAATTAACTACATAATCTAGTTATTTAATTAAAAATACATTATGAAATGACAAAATCTGTGGTTACTTGAACGCACAAATGACAGTGTGCGATACATTAAGTTTACATGGTTGCGTTGCGGATAAGATCACCCGTCTCAGAAACTTCTGAATTTAAACTTTATTGCCAATAGGAAGTCAATACCATAATGATGACCTTGGCGACATTTTAGTTTTGTTGTCACTGTTCGCGATGATTTTTATAGTTAAATATACATAAATTCTACGTGCCGATTGATTTGTTGGTCAGCCTTTCTCTTGTTCTTTTATCGAGCATTTTTCCTACAGTGCTCTGCACAGTCTCGCTAGCGCCTAAAGTACCTTCAACTGAAGGTTAACCTTCCTCGAGCTTTCAATTTTGGGGAAATTTCGAGGAACTTTGGGAAAATCTTGGGGTATTTCGGGGAAAATCCCCAAATTTAAATGACATTGACCAAGTTTAAAGGGTAATTTTTGGGAAATATATTCAATAATTTACCCAGGTCTGGGGAAATTTTGGGGTTATTGTGCCATTTTCCCTAAATTTCCCCAAAATATGCCAAATTTTCCCCAAAATTAGGAGCTCGGGTCGTGACTGTGTTGTGGACCAGTTTCTATGATTTTGCAAGGCTCTCGTGTTTCTTAACATTATAGAATGGCTTAACTGCCTAGTTATATTTTATTCTTCAGTGAGGCAGACAGAGAACTAATTGATAGTGTGGTCAAATATAAATGGATCCTAAAAATGCTGTGCAGTATTTTTTATGTGCTCATAGGGGCCTAAAAGTCATTTAGATGTCGATAACCACTCTTATATTGATCAGTAACACCGAAGGGTCGTAAGCTAAATCTTTTCAACACAATATTTATATATTATTAATAGTTATCACTTAACCCTGTTCTCATCAAAAAGGTGAAAAGAACAGAGTGACATCTCTAACTACATTTTGATCATCGGTCTGGCTATGCTTTAATACTTTGACTTATGCCTACAGTGATTCGAGAAGAACATTATAGATCACCAACGTATATGATCTATGTCGAAATGATTAGATAGTGTGACGAACCAACTAACGTCGAAGTCACACCTCGTGGTTAGCACGTTACGTGGGCTACCCCATTGACGTATCAAGGTACCACAGATGCTTTGAAGACTGTACAACACAGAGGGCGTTATTACATAAATATATTAGTTAAGGTAGATACAAGCGAAAGTAAGACCACTGCTGCATGGGCCAGTCCATGGCATACGATTAACTAATGCGCGTTTGTTGTACATGACCTTGGCAGGGAGCGACGATCTGTTCGACATTCAGTGATCCAACTGCCGGATGATTTGGCTAGGGCTCAGTGACATTTCACTGGCCCTACAGCATCAAGCCAGGTCTCCCGGTGGTAGACTTGTGGAAACGGCCAAATATTCCTTAATTTTCAAATAAATTTTGATATTATTTCTAGCTTTAGTAGTTAGTCGATAACGCACACGTCGACTTCCTAATGATGTTAGGTGATATCTATCAAAGTGGGTAGCTCTGACTCAGGTGTGGCAGCTCTCTGAATTTTTTGAAACATGAGGTGTTTCATATTATTAAATTCTTGTTTCGAGGTCTTCATTTGTGGGATATCCCTCGGTTTTAGAGTTTCATTGAGACTACTATTCTTTTTTGTCCTTCGTCATTACTCCTACAGGCTTCACAGTCCCATGACCTTTCCAAACTGAAGATCATTGTGATTTTCATCTTGAAGGTTTTCTCTTCCGCCTTACTGATGAGGTTTGACAACTTAGACTTTTGTGTATTCAAGCCAGGTTCTACGTTACCGTTAACTATATATGAGCAATAACAGTCCACTTTTTTTTCAAATTGTGTTTTCCATTTCACTTTCCCATTTTCTAACAAACGACTTTTTAGTTGCATCATTAAATGACTCGATCCAATTATTATGACGAGATTTCATATTTAATAACACGGATCCATGAATGGTAAGTATACACTTTTTCAGTATACTGTTCATTACAAGGATTTATTAGCAGGGAAAGGCGCATGGAACTGATGAAAGCATATGCTCTAATTCAACATACTGACTCTTCTGGGTAAGTAAAAAGACAAACGTAATGATCTTAGGTTTTTGAGGAACTCATGTCTAAAATATAATTTAAAACGTGGAAGATTTGATTATTTGTCAGTGATTCTAACCTTCAAACCATATTCAATAACAGCATCGTTCTAACTGGTGTAAATATTGAGGCTTTTTATTAGGGAATCACAGGAACCCAATTTCCTATTTTCAGGAAATCGCTATTAAGAAGTTTGGGGAAATGGTAAAAAAAACCAAAATTTTGTTAGTTCCTCAATATTTCAGGGGTTTCCTCAAAACCTCATAACACTTTGGGCAAATGTCTATATTCATTGATAAAACCCCAAAATATTCGTTTTTTCCAATATTTTCGACGACTTTGGCGAAACCCATTTACGTTCTGTGATGGAATCCCAATATCTTTTCGCATTTCAGGGACATTTTACATGATATTGAGTTTTCTGCTATACCGTATTTGGAAAAAAACCACAAGATTATCAACTGTATAGAAATGCCTGTTGATTTAATAACAATTACCCAAAATTTACTACGCATCTATCCATTTTTTAAAAATTAACTTCGCAAAGAAACAAGGCAATTAAACGACAGTCGGTAACAAGAACTTGCCTATGATGATAGATAAGCACTGTTGTTGTTAAAAGAGTAATGGGCTAATGATATGGTTTATTTGAATTTAAAAAGTACAAACGATTGTACATTTACGATTTGCGTCTTTCATTTCTTAATAGTTGTTATTACGCTTCCGTTTGCTATATCAGATTGATGTTGAAATCTTCTTGAGTGTTCTACAAAAATAGGGAATGGTTACTCTTCTGCAAACGCAATATGAAAACAACTCGATGGCTAATAGTACACAAACAAATTCCCAATGCTGTGGCAATCATCCAACCTATGAATCCATAATGTCATGTGAGATGTTGATTACGTACCAGTGGCATAACATTAATGTTTGCTGAATTTAAAACTCACAGTTAGGCCTGTGAGCATTTGTGAAACCAGCTGAAAATAAGATAGACAAGAAATTATTAATTCAGTATCAATATTTCAGTCAGTCAGCTACAACGTGCGACCAGACACATATATGTCCCTAAATGCCCTGGGACAGCCGAGAGTGGGAAGATTCAGCTCTCCTTCTCGAAATTTACTCACGTAGTTTCATGCATACAGCCACTGACAGGAAAGTCCTACTCACTGCCTTCTCGCGATGGAGAGTGTGGTTTACAAAATTGAGAAGACGAAAGGCGAATGTTTGACGCTTTAACCAGGTAGATGGATACGGAGAATTCACTTAGGGGAGTTGTAAAACCGCGATTTCAAACCGATGGTGCACATGGGCCCCAGTGTCCTGAAGGAACAATTGGTGTGTGAACAAATTATTGGTCACCCGCTACCATGAAAGAGAACCTCCTTACGTCGCTCCCCTGCCTTGTGCATTAGACCTTAAGGTCAAAGGCTCGGGGTGTGGCCTCTTAAGAAAACCACCTGCTTCGGTTTGGGTGCCCGATAAGTATCCTATCTCTCACACAGACCGAATGGTTTATGTAGCGCGCATCTGATTGGTGCCTCCTTGTATCGATGCTCACGTGATTAGGTAAGTAAATAAATAAATAATATATCGGTCCAAGCTGTCACACTTCATTAGCACAGCAAGATGCACAGCGGCTTCATAAAGTAGTTAATTCAATGTTGGTAATATATAAAAGAAAGATTGCATATAAGGTTATAGTACAGGAAGAAAGAATTAGTTAATAGAAAGAAAGATATGAAGCGATTAAAATCTGATAGTTTAAACGAAGACAGAGAGTGTATACACCTACTCCATGGTGATTGATTCTGTGTCATGTTACCAAGAGTCTCCAACCATTGGTTACGATAGTCACGCGGACCCCAACCAAGTAGTCTGCATCTACCAATATGGTTAAGACTAGAAGTTAGTGATCCCAGCAGATGCGAGCGATATTTCTAAGACAAGTGTGATCAAATACTAGTAACTTGCTAGTAACTTCCACTCGTATTGTCCACTGCCGTAAAATAGGACAGGACGAGCTGCTTCGCAGTATACTCGTCCCTTAATTGATACACAGATATCTCGCCCTCGCCAGAGGTGACTTAAGTTGGGAAAAGCCAAACGAGCTTTTCGAATCTGTGCTGAGACTTCATCAGACACCTTCCTATTAGGGTTTATCGTACTTCCGAGATAAGTGAAGTTGTCAACGCGTTCGACTACTTCACTCCCTATCCTTAGTTCAGGTGTTGACGTAGTCTAATCCTGAAGCAACAACTCGCATTTAGAGGGGATAAACGCATATCAAACATCCTGGCATTGTTGCTCAGTGCTATCAAAAGACTCTGTATTTTATCAGTATCTTCACCAAACAGGACTTCATCATCTGCGTATTCTAAGTTGATAAGTAGACCTCCATGTAGGAGATCAATTCCTGAAAATTCGGACGACGAGAACGTTATTTCCATCAGTAGGTCTATTATGGAATTCAATAGAAATGAAGATAGTGAACAGCCTTGTCGGACACCAATTGATGTTGAAAAACCAAATGACAATTCGCCATAAGCTCTGACTCGAGTGGTAGTGATCGAGTAAAGAGCCCTCCCAGGTATGCCTTTCAATGACAGACACTGCCACAGAACCTCTCGGTTCACAGAGTGAAATGCTGCTTTTAAGTCAAGAAAGGCCACCATTGTCGGACACGATAAGCATATCTGTGTTCTAAAATCTGAAGAATTGTGATTATGTGGCCGACACAGCCATGACCAGGTCTGAAGCCAGTCTGGTTCTCTCGTGTTTACAGTTCACGAGTCTTTTTTAGATGCCCGGTAATTATCGAGGTTAATATTTTAGACATTATATTAGTCAAATGAATCCCTCTTTGATTGTCACAGGATGATTATGGTCCTTTCTTTAATACTGATCATGTAATCATAACCTACATGTTTTGTTTATTTGATAGATTATCACTTCTATCCACCTTATATTTACTTTCTGTTAATGAATTTTAGTAGACATAAAACACCGTTTTTGTATTTTTTTCTGTTGATATGGAGAAGTCTCCTTTGGCTTTCTCAAATCATCTGGAACTTTCATTCTAAATTCGATCAACAAGATTCAATCAGTAACTGATGTTAGTAATAAAGACTTACTATTTTTTAAAATATTTACACTGGAAATTTACAGGAAGAATTCACTTTCAAGCGAAATGATCCAATATAACATAAATTTGAAAAGAATAGATGAAAACATTAGAAAATTAGAAAGAAGACATGAAGTCCTGAAATGTCAGTTCGAAAAAATTAAACAAAATGCTAAAGAAGAATCTATGTGGGATGTGAATAAAATGTTGAATCATTCGTTTAATAACCAAGAAGTTAGTTTGATTTGTCATATATTTGTCGTATATTTATTGTTTGTTAGCACTTATCATTTACAATAACACTTTCATTGTGAAACTTAGGTAACAAAAACATCATCATTAAGAGACCAATGAAAAGCATTTTTTAAAATTACAATCTAATATGACAGTAAAACAGAAATTTGTTAACAGATATCATGATAAAGTTCACTCTGAATGTTGTAAGAACAACTTAAGAATATCAAACTTCTAGACATTATTTTTCCTACGAAATATTTATCATACAGTAGATTAGATAAGCGATTGATACTTTAGAGTGCAAGGATTTCAGTAGAAATATAAATGTTCGTAGATAATTCTACTGGAAGAGCAGTATTTAGTTTTTGGTAGGAAATATGAATGTGATGTCAGTTTATTTTGAAATTATCTATAAATAAAGTCAATCAAATGATATTTAACTATCAATTTTTATTAAAGATTAATGTTACGTATTCATACACAATAATTTGACTGTTCGATAGTGAGTCAAATATAAGCTAGAACAAGAGTTCAATAACAGTGTGGTGGACCAGACAATATACGAACTCAAAAAGTAATAACAGAGTTATTAAGGACAAATAGTAATGTTAATACATATAAGTTAAATGTTATAAACACAAAAGAAATGAGGGACGTTACTTAGTTCACCAGGTTAGTGCGTGTTCTGATTTGATCTGGTACCAAATATCCACAATTATAGATGGTTGGTAATTCCAGTAAGTTTGATGAACTCCCCAGTGATATGATCCAATGTAGGATATGATATGTTCCAATTACAGTCTATAAATGTAGATAGTATTTGATTTAGACTTCGATTAACACAATCACAAGTGAATGTAGAACGAGAGGTATGTACGCAACAATGTATTTGTTAGCAGTCAACAGTGTGTCATTCTATGAAGTTACACAACGGAAGGAAAGTGTGTTCAAGGTCATACACTTAAAAAACACGTACAATCATTTAATGATAAATGTACATACAGTGAAAAATTGACAAAATAAATACAAATAACATCAAAAACTATTTACAAAATAAACTTGTCAGGCATATCTCCACAACAGAAGATACAAAAGATTAGATCGACACATGACAAAATAAATCGTTAATTATATATGTGATGCAATAAACATACCTTTCTGTATTCCTTGACGGATCACAGATCACTTCAGTTAAATATGTCAAGTAGAACTAAGTTTCAGAAGATATGTTTATTTCACATAAAACTAGTCATTTAAATTTGTCTGTATTCCAAATTTATTATTTCTCTTAAGATTCAGACGAAGCATTAGTCACTTTGGATACTCAAAAGTTTCGAATACATTCAACTCACTTTCGACACTAGAAATTATATAAACCTCCTATTTTTTGTTAGTTAACAAAGAATAATGTTATATCTGTCATAATTCAGTAGTTTAATAAATAGTGCTTCGTAGGTTGAATCAACATTCAATAAGTCTTAACTTCCTTGAAGAAATCATCAATATTAAGATTCGAGTACCTTCTAGTTAAGAAGTTTGAATTATAATTCATAGTGCACTTTTAATGTCTATTGAAAATGTTATCTCTATGCACATATACATTGTGATGGATCAAAAATAATAATAAAGTTGTTACGTCGAAAAAGTAATGTATTACTACGTTAAATAATATTGGTTAGCGCTTTTTTTAGCGAGTTAGTTTTCTACGCGATGTGATAGCTAACTCCATGCCTAACTTTCCTCCTTTATCCGGGCTTGGGGCCTGCAGTAGCTCCAGAAGAGCTCCAAGCGGAGTATATAAAAACTAGTATTATAAAACTGGAAAAAATTACTGGAGTTTATTTAAATCGTCAGGACTTGGAGTGTTTGTGTTGCATTTGGTATAATAATCCACAATTATCAGTAATCAATAATTCCAGCTGCATATCCAGATCAAGTATATAATGGAAATATTTATATGATCTGTAAATTTAGATAATAAATACATTAGAGTTTAGTTATCATAACAACAAAAATTGAGAACGAGATACATATAAGTGTAGCGGTGTATTTGCGATCGGTTATTAATGTGTCATGCTATGAGGGAGGGAGGATTCAAAACGAAAGAGGAAGCATTCATGATTATGAGATTTTAGCCAATTATTTTACAGTCACTTATAGTAAATGTACAAATTATGAGAATTAATGGATGAAATGCAGATAGTATGATAAACTAATTACAAGATAAGTTTGTCATGACTATTTCTATAACATAACATTACTGTATTTATTTAAATATTCAATACATTCCAATAGAGATTAATCTATTCTATGTTAAAAATTGATTAAAAACTAACAAACAAGTACAGAAATATATAAATAAACTTTAAGTGTTATGCTTATGAAGTTCATTTGTTTCTCAAGTTTGAGTCAAAATAATAAGAAAATGTGCCATATTAAACTATACTTTTTAGAAATGGTTAAAGACAATTGAACAAAGAAAATTTACCACAAATTGAAATCATGAGTCAATTGAAGCTAGACCACCATGGAAAACGTGGAAGCACTGGACGGCCGTTTCGTCCTAGTATGGGACTCCTCAGCAGTGCACAACCACGAACCCGCATCCCGCAACATTCGAACTCAAGACCTATCAGTCTCGCGCCAGGCGCTTAACCAAGTAGATCACTTAGCCGGCCGGCATTCAATGGCGTTAATGTCTAACTTCAACCAATCCACGAGACTGATAGGTCCTGGGTTCGAATCCCGCGGGATGCGCGATCGTGGATGCACACTGCTGAGGAGTCCCATACTAGGACGAAACGGCCATCCAGTGCTTCCAGGTTTTTCATGGTGGTCCAGATTCAATTAACTCATGATTTCAACCTGTGAAATTTCTAAAATCTCCACAAACCCCTTCTGAAAAGAAAATTTACTTTATGATTATAACATTTACCCAAGTTGTATAATTGTATTTATAGTTAATTAGCAAATAAAGTAGTCTGTTGAAACAATGGACGATAGAATGTAATCCGTTTTAAGTAGGTTGGCTCTTCACACTTTGATATGAAAGAGATATTGATGAATATGTTTCTAGATCATATGCCATAGATGACAGAACAAATAATCTGAAGTTCATCTACTATACGAAAGGCAGATAACAGAGTCTAACCGAATAGAAAAAATATTGAATGACTACACTTCGTGATGTGACATCATTACCCAAGTAGTCAAGATTTGAATTAACTAATAAAAGTTATATGCGATAGTCTAACCAGTAAACGAGATATAATGGAATGGAAACAATCTTTATATATGAGAGAGGTGAATGAAGATTGTTCACTTGATCAATGTAAAGAGATAAAAGAGAAAAGAATCAGTAAGTATTTGAAATAAAAAGAGAGGATGGGATCATGTGTATTGAGGAATTGGACTTGCCACTTTTGAAAAGTATTGGTCTAGAGAACTACTAGAGCATCTTCTGTGCGTAGGTTACTGAACCGTATTCACTTCGCACTAGTTTGATTTCCATTATTTATCTTTTGAAAGTCAGGCTGATCGTTACTTCAGATTGAATTTGTAAAGATCATCTAACGCCATTATTGACAGTTTTCACTGCTCACATATCTAGTGTATAGTTGTCAAGCTATGTCAAACATTAATTGAAACTAGTGAAAACTGACCCAGTAGTTTTAATGATCAAGCGTTTTTCGCGACACCTGTTTGTTCTGAGTTCTATCCCTGGTTGGGATCGTGTAGAATCTAATACGAGAATGAATCAGATATCCAGTGCTCCCTACTCTTCAATGTTATCTCAACTGAGATCAATCTGTGACGAATACAACAGACAAATTAAACCAATTTTTATGAAACCTCTGAAGATAAAAAACAGTTTTCCGTTTTTTTATCAGCTTCAACAGGTAATTAAAAGAACAAAACAAATTTTAGATGCACAAGAAATAACGTTGAAATCTATATCATTTAACAACAACGATGACGATGAATATGAAAGTGTTGATAACAATATAAAACATGAAGAATTATACAAATTATCGTTTATTAACCAAACCAGGATCGAAACACCACAAAAATATGGTGATTATAACAAAACGGAGAATAAGGAAGCAAATGACAAAGAGCCAGGGGAAGATGAAGAAGAGAAAGAATTGGGACAAAGAAGACCAATCAGGGAGATAACAGATCGTGTTGAATCATCGAATCATGTTGTCCATAAAATTAGATCTCCAGTATTTTCGGAAGATCTAAATTATTCATCTGATGATTTTTATAAACAATCCAGATTGTGTGATTCAAATATTTTATTGAACAATCATAGTAATGATGAGAAATCTAACAAGAATAATAATTCGCAACATATGGTCATAGAAGAAGAAGAAGAAGGAAAAGAAGAAGAAGAAGAGGAGGAAGAAGAGGAAGATAATGATACTCAAGAAACAGATGAAGACAAGGCAGAACTAAAATGTGAAAATGTTTATCCAACAGATCCAAATAAAAACGGAATAATTCAAAAAGGTATGAATTTATTATTATTATTGTTGATTTTAAACCTAGACGATATTTGGAATATTGATTGTTTAACCAGTTAAGGAATACGATTGATTGTTTATTATTTCAATTATTTTCTTTTCTATTTACATGGATGCTAAACTTGTGTGTAGAGTAAATGATAGTTAAACTGTTTGATAAAGCAACAGTTGAAGAATTGATTTAGATATAAATCCGGCTATAATGTTTACAGCTAGATGACAACCTATCGAAGCTTGAACGTTGAACTCCTTAAGGTTATTCTGTTTCATTAAGATTGGAACAATCAACTTAAGACTAGGCCCAAGTTTGTATCGGTTCCAATTCTCTGTACTTCACATCAGTAAATCTATAAAGAAGCATAAGAATGGAGCAGTATTAAATACAATAAAAATCACAATATATGAATTATGTTTAACGATCAAAAAGTCAAATTGGATAATGGAAATTTTGTTAACTCACCAAACTCATTTTAAACAAGGTAGAAAAACGAATATAAATGCACTACTAAGATCAATTTTGGGACATTTCACCTACTCTCTCCAATTTGGGATTATAAATATTGTTCCGATTCTAACACAAAAATCCCCAACTATTGATACTAACTCAGTATAACATGAACATGCTCATTGATGCTGCTTTTATTGGCTCACTCTTGAAGGTTTTTCAGTCTGCTCATATGATAGTCATCAAATGTATAGGTAGGTGATAACTAGTCAAGCACAACAAATGTTACAACCATCTTTCTTAAAGAATGTTGATAGGCCCATCAATCGTTTACTAATCTAAGTAATGTCCTAGAGATAAACTCAGCATTACTTTAACAGACAAGAACGGTACTTTAGTAACACAAATAATCAAATACTTCCCACCTAGATAGGAGAAAAGAACACTTGATTCTATAATCATTTATGAAACACTAGTATACTTGTGTTTCACACGAAGACCAAGCTCAAATAATAATGACTAATTTGAAATCGAACCTTAGTTGGTTTTAATAGCCAGTAGTAAACCTGGATCGACAGCCTAATAACCTCTGTAATTAAATTTTGAATTGAATAGAATGACCACTTCGATCACATATTCCCGTTTTCTACAAAAAATACAACACCGTTGTATCTTTCTTATTTGAAACCAGAATTCTAATTAGTGGTAGGTGAACCATTCTTGTATCATACCACAAATCGGCTTAACAATGAAGTTACACAATCATGAATTGAAGGAGCGGACAGGTGAAACTGCTTTAGATGAATTCACTACCTAGTAAGCCATCATTCTGAATACTGTTTCATTTGATTCTAGTAAGAGGAGAAAACTGTCAGAATAATAGGGCATATACATTGATAGACAACGAGGAACTTCTTTGCATTATTATTACCATTGAGATTATTAATCACTATTACTGTTATTTCTATTGTTCCAATCACTCTCTTATTTATGCTTAATACTGTGTTATAATGTGCAAGTATTCCTATCTTAATGAATTGATCTGGAACTATAGATTAACATGTGATAAGTCATTCTATAATATTGCACATGAAATTATTGTTCAAGCAGACAAATATATTGTGTATCATACTTCTATACTTGATGATGATTTCCTAATCACTTTGTTAATTCAAATACTTTGCTTGAGTTAACAATACACTAAAACAACCGGAAGGATTTACATTTTATCAATTAGATATTTAAGTAGTTTGAATGGTGTTTTTTCAATCCATCTAGTTTTATATGTATAAATATGTGAATATTTAACATTGATTACCCTGCTATTTCAACTATTCACTTATCTCTTCTCACCATTAATACACATGAAAATGAACTACCTTTACCATATTTAATTCTAATTCAAAACTTCAGTTATTAATTTTAACTGATTGCATGAATATTGATGAAAATTCACAAGTATTATAGTTGGTGAAGATTTAGAGTAAAAATTTAGGAAGATCATGAAGAATTTAAGCATCATAATAACATGATTATTAAATAAGTGAACTAGTGTTCTGGAAACATTATTTCTTCTCAAAATAGTCTCCATTTGTGACAATACAATTCATTAACACTATTCAAAGCATCTATTCACATCGATCATCACTGTCTCCGAAGGATTGCTGACATTCAGTGGCAACACCATGTCAGTAATGCAGAGGCTCGGCATCGTGTGTTCGGGCACAGAGATGATAATTCAATTGGTGTCACCATCTTGAAACACCGACTTCGGTGGCTTGGACATGTTCTCCGAATGTCGTCTCAGAGAATTCCACGTCGTGCATTATTTGTCGACTCTGGGACTGGTTGGAAGAAGCGGAGAGGTGGTCAGTGCATGACATGGTGTCGTGGCATGAAAGAAAGCTGCAAAGGACTGGCTTGTGTTGGTCCTTCACGACTCCCTGGTTGGGGTCTGAGAGATGGTGCTACACAGTGGCTAGAGACGTTATCAGATATGGCTCAGAATAGAAGCCAGTGGCGATCCTGCTGTAACCTTCTTTTACTTTCTTCATCAAAAGTGGTTCTGTCTCCCTTACCTGAAAGATTTCTTCCGATTGTACCTTTGCGTTCCCTGATTACTAGCACATTACCTTACACCAATCTCTTCGTTATTGTTCTCTCTTTTTTTTTGTTGCGCTCCTTAGCTTTTTTTTTCTTTGTATTCCTCTCGAATTTTCATTGTTTTGTGTGGCGCATATATATTGGCGCTCTCTTGTACCAATATTCATGTGTCCAAATAAATAAATAAATAATAGAATAGAATAAATGTGGCCAGTAGTGGAATTCAGGATACTCGTTTCGTCCCGTTTAAAACTCGTCAACTAGATATACTTGCATCCTAGAGTTAATGTTCACTGATGGACCAGGACACAGTAACATTTGCTTTAAACACCATAGCGTTATTCACTTAGCTACTGAATTCAGAAAGCGAATTACTTTTGAAGTGGGTATGAGATCTTAATTCTATTTGAAATAGTTTAAATTACCTCGTTGTTGATATTTTTAACTGAAATTTGATCAGTCTGGGATGGTATAGATGCATTCTGTGTGGATCGCTATGGTATAACCATTATGACACAAATTGATGGGATGCAGAGATCACATTTCTTGCTATTTCGGACTCGTCATCTATATCCCAAAGACGACGCGCACTCCGGGATATTTAATTTACTCCATATCCACTTGCATCATAATTGTTATATTGGAGCAACAGGGAAAGAATGCATATATGCCAACTCAGACTGATCAAATTTCAATCAAAAATATCAACAGTAGGATATTCCATACTGTGTCAAATAGAATCTGTTTGCATTGTTTGAACTATTTACCTGTAAGTCCAAAGTTGATTGTTTTAATCTTTAATTCCTTTTGATACTACTATATATTCAGGTAAATATAATGTTAGCTACAAATTGAGAAATCTACTCAATCATCTCATACTGATAATTTTTATCTTCTAATATTACGTGATTTTATATGGGTCTAATCTAATGCGATTTCCTTACTGACTACATCCAACCACCTGAAATTTCAGCATGGTATAGTCGATTCAATTAGACTAGTAGCCCCTGTGCAATTAACTAGAACAGAACTTAAGTTAAATGCTTTTGCTTTAGATAGCATCTAACCACTCGACAATATGTAAGTAATTTATAATATAAACTATTAATTATTAAAGAAACATTGAAAATAGTGAAGTATTGGATATCTGTTTAAATCTAATTCGAGATTAATAGACTAAAGACCATATACTCTCAATTCCATTACAACCATCATTATTACATAAAATAAGCACTTATAAATATGCTGAAATATTTCACAAATTCATTTTATTGAAAAGAAAAATACTCATTATACACTTTTTTTACTCTTTGAGTATAAATATTCAAATTTTTCAGGCGTTTTTCCCTCGTTGCACTGAATAATTACAAATAAGAAGAATGCATAGCTAAGTTTAAGGTAATGACTAGTTAATCAACAAGAAAACCCAATAATTTAATCGTCAACAGTGTAAAACCTAGTACATACGTGAATCAGTACAAATTACCATGCGGTGTTAATATTAGTCAGATAAACTTATTCATACAAATGCTTAAATACTTACTTACTTACTTACGCCTGTTACTCCTCGTGAAGGAGTATAAACCGCTCAACAGCATTCTCCATCCAACACTCTCCTGGGCAATCCTTTCTAGCTCCTTCCAGTTGTTATTCATCCTTTTCATATCTGCTTCTATTATCCGACGTAATGTGTTCTTTGGCCTTCCTCTTTTCCGCCTTCCTTCAGGATTCCAAGTTAGGGCTTACCTCGTGATGCAGTTTGATGATTTGCGTAATGTATGTCCTATCCATTTCCATCGTCTTTTCCTAATTTCTTCTTCAGCTGGAAGCTGGTTTGTTCTCTCCCACAAAAGGCTGTTGCTGATGGTATCCGGCCAATGGATGTTGAGTATCTTGACTAGACAGCTATTTATAAATATTTGTACCTTCTTGATGATGGTTGTTGTAGTTCTCCAAGTTTCAGCTCCGTACAGTACAACTGCCTTAACGTTGGTATTGAAGATCCTCACTTTGATATTGGTTGAAAGTTGCTTTGAGTTCCATGTGTTCTTCAATTGTAGGAATGTGGTCCTTGCTTTGCCAATCCTCGCCTTCACATCTTCATCTGAACCTCCTTGTTCATCGATGATGCTTCCCATGCTTGTTCATCTTCCAGAGTTTCGCCATCAAGAGTGATTGGACTGCTGTCCTCCGTTTTGAATTTGAGGACCTTTGTTTTCTCCTTGTGTATGTTGAGGCCTACTAATGCAGAGAGTGTAGAAAACTAACTCTCTAAAAAAAACGCTAACCAGAAAAATAATTCAACAAATGCTTAAATGGTATAGAATTATGAATAATATCAGTGGAAGTAGAAAACATTAAGCTTAAATGATATGATTCGAGAAGAAAAAGACATTAAATTTTCAGAAAAAAAAGTGTATTAAGATAATTTCCAAGTCAGAATAATCTAAGCTACACGCGACTAAATCCACAATCTTCAGGTCATATGATAATCATACAAACATTACATTACAAGTTATTAGTTATCAATTTCTAGTCATCGTTACTGATAATTTGTATAACCCAATATAAATGCTTTTATTTTATAAACTTATTTATAGGTATATCTTGGTGTATTCATGAATTTCGACACCTTATAGCAGCACATTAAGCTAATCCTTGTTTATGCGGCAATATTAAAGTTTAAATATTTTCATTGACATCATGATCCGATCAGTGTTAGACCGCCATTGAAAATCTGGAAGCACTGGACAGCCGTTTGGTTCTGATATAGGATAGCACAACAGTAAGTATTACAATCCTGTATGGCAGAATCGAACCCAGCTCCTTCGGTCTCGCACGCGAACCCTTAATCTCTAGACCACTAAATTGGCTTCCACTGGAGTGAGGCACACATTTCGTTGTGCTAGGGACTCGTTAGCTGGATTTATTTGCATCCCAGAGTTGATGATCACTCCGAGACTCCAACTCACGCCGTTTGCTTCAAATGCCATCGCGTTATTCACTTAGCTGCTGGTACATCCGGCTGATGACTCCCAAATAGAACAAATTGAGCGCCCTGGATTTCACAGTTAGGCACCATCCATCTGTGCTTAAAATTGCTTGTGACTTAATGATAATATCAAAGCGATCCACACAGGGTGCAAATATACCAAAGGAGACTAATTGAATACAATTTTAAGCAACAACGGAAAGATTCAAACAACCAATATATTTGAAGTAAACAAATAGTTTTTCATTAAATCACTCTACCTATTTCATGTTTTTACTAATTAACTTTACGATGGTTTAGGTCAAACTTATGAAGCATTTTTAGCAAAAGCAACATTCAGCATTGAAGATTCAACTTATGATCCAGTTAATGAGTCCAATGAACATGAATCTGAATATGATTCAAAAATATTAAAAAATAATGTAAATATAAATGAAGATATGAGAGCATCAAATAAGTTATTTGGTATGTTTATTTACATAAATAGAAGTTTACATTATAATTTAAATTGTCCGTTTTATTGTAGTAGTATAAGTTTATATAAAAATTCATCAATAAAGGCATCATTATAAAAGAGTAATAAAATAGTTTATTTTATAATTAGTTTAGAATGTTAAGTGAAATTACATAGAGAATTATTTAAACCAAATACAAATCAAAATGTTTTACACAGATATTTCGTCTTGACTCTGAGTCAGTCAGCTACAACGTACGACTAGGCACATATATGCATAAGTCCAAGTTGCCTTACCTTATCAGCACAACAATATGAATAACAAATTCATAGAAGTAGTTAATTCAATGGTGGTAATATATAAAAGAACGATTGCACATAAGGATATAATACAGGAAGAAAGAATTAGTTCATGGAAAGAAAAATATGAAGCGATTAAAATCTGATAGTTTAAACGAAAACAGAGAGTGTATACACCAACGTCATTGTGATCGATTCTGTGTCATGTCAGCCAGAGTCTCCAACCATTAGTTACAATAGTCATGCGGACTCTGAAATTATTCACTGACGCTAGTTCTTGATATCAAAAGACTAATTACTATTAGAATACGCTTCCATAAAATTAATTTAATCGAAAATTGCAATAAAGTTAGTGTCGTATAGTAATGTAATAATTTCTCATTTAATTAAGGTAATAATGTTAGATGATTCAGTATTTGTAAGAGAAAGGATGAAGTTTGGAATAGAGAGCTCAAAGATAGAAGTAATATTGTTCCAGTTTGTATTCAAATGAATAAAATCGATAGTATAAAGTTCGAATGTTAACAAGTTTGAGTCTAGAATAGAAGTAAGTGATTGTGAAGAGAAGTTTGTGTATTTTTATGAAGGAATATGGAATAGTGAAGAACAACAGAAAATATAAATTGATGACTTAATATAATTACATAGAATGAACTTAAATTTAATGATCAAAAGCAATCGAACCTATTTGGCAATGTATATACGTGAACTCAAGATAATCTAGCAACCGAAACTGAAAATTGAGGATGGTAAATTTTCAAATAGATTACAGTGGAATTAATTCCTTTTTCTTAGAATAATGTTTGACTATAGATATCTAAGTTTTTAATACAGACAAAGGTAACCGGTGTTGGAGATGGTTGGGAGAAAGTTAGGGGCGGTCAAACCAAAACGTGGCATCAGTGCTTGATGTCAATAACTTCTAGTCTGAGCCATGTTGTTAGATGCAGACTACTTGGTTGGGGTCCGCGTGACTGTCGTAACCAATGGTTGGAGACTCTGGCTGACATGACACAGAATCGATCACAATGACGTAGGTGTATACACTCTCTGTCTTCGTTTAAACTATCAGGTTTTAATCGCTTCATATCTTTCTTTCTATTAACTTATTCTTTCTTCTTGTACTATATCCTTATATGCAATCTCTCTTTTATATATTACAACCTCTGGATTAACTACTTCTATGAATTTTTTGTTCATGTTGTTTTGCTGATGAGGTATGTCAACATGGACCTATGCATATATGTGGCTGATCGTACGTTGTAGCTGACTGACTGAATACAGACTAAAATCGGCTACGGGAACTATCGAAAAACGTGGAATTAATTGATTGGTTTTCCATTCTAGATAGAAACTGTCTTATATTTAACCTCTTACGTAATAAAACTTGTCTTTGTCGGCCGGCAGATACTCATGTGAACGTTCAATAATTCAGAAGTAATTCAATACTAAGTATTTTCGACACTGTAATATAACTTAACACGTTGAGGCTTATGTACACTACTTGGGTGTGCAGGTCAATTGTTCAAAGAGAAACAGGCTCATTACAGTTTGGAACTCGAAATTATTTGCTGAAAGTAGATTATTTTAATCACGACGCCAGTGTATTAATGATAGTAATAAGCCATTTATTAAGTCAAGGGTAATGTGCTAGACTTTACAATATGCCTTTTGAAATAACGCTACTGAATACACAGGACAATAAGTCTCCGTTTAGTCGTTGTAAAATGTAAACAAATGATCTTGTAACACTAGTTAGATGTCAAAATTTTCGATATGAACCTGGAGATTCTATGTTGACTATTTCTTATGGTGTTAAATGTGAAAATTACTGAAAATTCGTAAAGCTATTAGTAGAGAAATTTTTCTCAACTATATATGTTTGTAGTTAGGTACTATTATAGTTAATATGGATTTATAAAAAACCAAAATATAGTGGTGTTATTAACATGGAATGTTTGTTGATAATCTTTAGTTTGACGATAGTTTGCATCAACTTCCTCAAACTTTCAATGCTAATGAATGCCTTATACTCACCGATAACTAACTTCGAAGAAAATTCATAAGGCCTTAATACGAAGCCGCAACCGGGTGGAATTCAGTTATTTCGGGAGTCATATAGTTATCACTGATGATAAACACTGGTACACAACCATACCTTCTATGGTGGTTTAGTTTGCCTATCGTAGTGACCAAATCAAATTATGTTGACTGGAATACTCTTTCTTTTAGGTCCTAAAATACTGGCCAGGTCTGTTGGAAGATAAACTGAGGAGTAAAACTTAAGGTTCGAGAGAAAAGTTGTACTTTAATTTCTAGTAAGGTGTGACTTCAGTAAAGCTGATTTAGTGGTCTAAAAATAATGTGCTCACTGCAAACGTTTTGGATTGATAAGGAAAAAAACAATGGTCCAATGCTTTGTGATTTTCAATAAATGTCTGTCTAAAGTATTTTCATGAAGTGTAGACTAATTGTTAAGAATGATTATTTCGGTATAATTATTGGTCTTAGCGTTTTTGGTTAGTGACAGACTCGTTCGAAGTAAAGAATGGTGTCAGGCAAGGTTGCTTACTCTCACCCTTTCTCTTTCTCTTGGTAATCGATTGCATCATGAAGATGTCAACATCTGAAGGGAAGCACGGGATACAGTGGACAGCTAGGATGCAGATGGACGATCTAGACTTCGCAGATCATCTGGCCCTCCTATCAACGACCAGTGTAGCAACAGCCTCAGCAGCAGTAGGTCTCAATATACACAAAGAGGAAAGCAAGATTCTCCGATACAACACAACATGCACCAATCCAATCACAATTGACGGAGAAGATTTGGAAGATGTAAAAACCTTTACATATTTGGGCAGCATCATTGATGAAACACGGTAGATCTGATGCAGATGTGAAGGTGCGGATGGGCACATCAAGAGCAGCATATCTACAGCTGAAGAACATCTGGAACTCAAAACAGCTGTCAATCAACACCAAAGTCAGAATTTTCAATACAAATGTCAAGAGAGGTGTGCTGTATGGGGCGGAAACCTGGACAACTACGAAAGTCATCATCCAGAAGATACAAATTTTTGTTAGCAGTTGTCTACGCAAAATACTTCAGATCCGTTGGCCGGACACTATTAGCAACAACGTACTGTGGGAGAGAACAAACCAGATCCCAGTGGAGGAAGAAATCTGGAAGAAGCACTGAAAGTGGATAAAACAAATTGAGAAATAAACCTAACTGCGTCACAGGGTAATCCCTCACTTGTAATACTTAAGGCCAAAGGAAAAGAAGAAGACCAAAGAACACATTACTCCGAGAAACGGAGACAGACATGAAAAGAATGAACAATATTGGATAGAATTAGAAAGGAAGGCTCTGGATAGAGTGAGTTGGAGAATGCTGGTCGGCGGCCTACGCTTGATTGTGAGTAACAGGCGTAAGTAAGTAAGGAATTATTTGTCTTCTCAGAAGTTTGCTTTTCAGTAAACTGTGTGGTTTTCTTGGCTATTTTAAATGCTGTTTTTTTAAACAAGTGGAAAAGATAATCAATCACTTTATTCTTCAATTTTAGATTCAACAAATGCTAATTTACTTTCATCATGGACAACATATAAAACGGAAGACTTAGAGGATGACAGTTTCTATGATTGACAAATAAAAATGTCTATATAATACATTTCTTCTTTGTTGGGATAATGATGATAATATTAGTGAAATAACGCTCGTATTTCTCAGTACACAGACACTAAATTGCTTGGGATGGGCAATGAATAGTTTGTTTGCGTATATAATTCACTCGCTCTATACTACATACCTATTCAGCACTATTCTTCTACAACGCCTCAAAATAACTCAAGTTAAGAACACGCGATCCACCTAACTAGTACGTGTATTGTTTAGCAATTATCAACCTACAATGCAGTAAGTACACGGGTAGGGGAATACATAAGACATATCAATTACTTATCAGACTATCCACCAATCTGCCTACGACAACAATCAATCACTATTTTCTTTCGATCAGACAACAATCAGTGTGCGTGAAATTTTTATCTCATGTCACAATGTTTAGTGAAAAGTAAATTATATTGTAAATGAACAGATCAATACAATTCCATATCCTAAAAAAAATTTATTACCGGAGTCGATCCATTCCTTATGTGTATAGATCTGCTTACTTATTTTAGATAAAGAAGAATTTTAATTGACCATCTAGCTTTATCGTTAACAAATGATATGATATTTACGAGTTTTGTTGTACAATAATGAATATATGATTCATGAACATGAGAACATTTCTGTTGATAATTAAATCACCGGAAGATTTTTTTCTTCAATTTTAAGCATCAAGAAATAAGAAAGTCAACTAGGTAAGTGTAAATTAACTTGTTACTTGTAGAAACAGTATAAAGTTTATTAAAGTGGCTGACCACTCTGAAGTAAAGCAATAATGGTGATGTGCTTTATATATAAACTTGTGTAATTCTCTAAAGAAAAGTGAGTACTCGAGGGAATATTGCAAGCAAATATGACCATGAAAGTTGGCAATAGAGAAAGTTCAAATGGTTAACAAAAATTCACTACATATGCATCTGATATTCAAGGATCTAACAAAATGTTAATAATGAGTTTGCGCAGAACAAATCAAATAATGTTCAATTCAGAAAAAGCTACAACTAATGTTTTTTACTCATCGGATAGCTGCACCGATACTGGCGGATAAACTAATTTCAACTGACCTGTGGAGAAAGTTACGTTGATAGATGTTTTAAGAATTTAATTTATCGTATTTGCAAACACTTTCAACAGTGACCAAGCAAAGGCGTAATTACAACGATCAAAAGTTCCCTCCTATTCCATCTAGTTAAAATGGGTCACAGCGTGAATTATTCTTTTATTAATTACATGGCAGAAACATCAATGAAAAAGGCTGAAACACCGGAGAATTGAATACAGAAGAAATTTCTCTTATTGTGGCCAAACCTAGGCACAATAATTCACTAGTCAACCAAACTATACTTTGAACAAAGTATACAGAAACTACCCCTCTACATTTTTGTAACTTTAGTTTAACCTAATGGAATATAATTGCTATTTTATTATTACAGATCCTGTGGAGAATATAATTAGTACTCATTTAACTTTACCATCCGTTACTAAATTTCTGTCATTTCATACATTATATAGAATTCGACCATATATCTGATTTTTACTTACATTATTGTTTCTCTCTCCCTATTTTACTAATGCTTAACATTATATCTTAAAATACAATAGAAATGTTTATTATTATTTACAACTCAGAAATCAAGAATAAATTTGTGTAATAGATGTTTAATACACAATTAATGCTTGAAAACTACTAAAATAATATTTGGAAAGCGCTCTCCGATATTTTATCATCATTTTGATCTTATTATACTTTTCCATATTGACTATTATTCACCTCACTCTAGTATTCGACTAGAATCAAAGTTGCACTTTACTATTTCGTACACAAAATGTGTTGTGTGATTTCTCAACTCATTCCTTCAATGGTAGTGTGATTATGGAGTAGTTACATTTAAATAGTTCATCTGGACATGTTTCATAGACATTCAAGGAATTATCATCAATGTAAAGAAAATAAAAAAAGAATAAAGATATGGACTATAGTTGATTCGTATTCCTCGTAAACAAAAGTAGGGAAATTATAGTATATGGATATGCCAATCAGAATGAAAATAGAGCCTCTCAGACGTGAGGGAAATTCAAGAGGACATGACGAATAGTTTGTATCTCACTAGAGGCTGAGTAAAGGTTCCCTATATCTAGTTCGGATGCTCAAAACCGATAAATATATCTGCTGTGCATCCACACGGTAGACACTTAATGTGAAAGCTTCTGACGTAGATTGCGTCTCCAACCGGGCGCACTCGATGTGATGGTAAAAGTATACTATTCTAACGGTCTTGAAAAACTCACCAGCCAGTCAAGATACAGTGTTTCGTTATAAAACAATTACCAATAAAACAACAGTGAACAAATATGCTTGGTATTATTAGTAAACCTCTACGTCAGTAGGATTAAACCATGTTGACGACGTTGGGCGATTCTTGCCCACCCCGAGGCAGCATGGAACGATATCCGAAAAGCTGTGGAAACAGCAGTGATATCTGCTAGTAAGGTAAACCGTAAAGTTAGGGAGCAACACTGGATCTCAGCAGCATCTATCGCACTGATAGATGCTCGAAAACTCATTCCACCTGGCTCTGAACATAATGAAGAGCGGAGTCAGCTTAAGCGCAAGCTGACAAGAAGTCTACGCAATGATCGCGAACAGTGGTTGGTAGCGAGATCAAGAGAGATGGAAAAGGCAGCGGCAATAGGTAATAGCAGACAATTGTTTAGACTCGTTAAGGAAACCGGAATTAGGAACCCGACCGTTAGCGAAACAATCTCAGAGAAAGATGGACATATTATTCATTCTCAATCCAGGAGATTGGATCGATGGGCAGAACACTTTAGGGATCAGTTCAACTGGCCTTCAGCCACACTTCGGTTTCCCACGATCTCCAGTCAACCTGAATGGCAAGTTAATGTAGGTCCTCCGTCCCTTTACGAAGTTGAAAAAGCCATAGGAAATCTGAAACGAGGGAGAGCAGCAGGCCCTGACAGGTTTACTCCTGAGATTTTTAAGGATGGTGGTCCAGTATTAGCAATGAGATTAACTGAGGTCTTAGGTAGAATTTGGGAACTGGACGTAATCCCATCTGACTGGTCTCAATCACTGATTGTGCCAGTTTTTAAGAAAGGACAAAAGTCCTCTTGTGACAATCACAGAGGAATCAGTTTGACTAACATAGTGTCTAAAATATTAGCCTCAATAATACTTCGACGCCTAACTAAAGCTCGTGAAGAGCAGACTAGAGAAAACCAGGCTGGTTTTCGACCTGGACGTGGTTGTATCGATCAGATATTCACACTACGTCAGGTTCTAGAACAGAGACACACATTCAGACGCCCCACAATGGTAGTATTTCTCGACCTTAAGGCGGCATTCGACTCCGTTGATCGTGAGGTTCTATGGCAGTGTTTGTCACTGAAAGGAGTACCAAAGAAGTACATTAACCTTATAAAGGCTCTCTACTCGAACACAACTGGTAGAGTGAGAGCTTATGGCGAACTGTCATCAGAATTGATCACCTCAAGTGGTGTTCGTCAGGGCTGTCCACTCTCCCCATTCTTGTTCAACTTTGTGGTCGACGTACTTTTAGAGATAACACTCTCCTCATCTAAATTTCCAGGGGTTGAACTTCTACCAGGAGGTTCACTTGTTGACTTAGAATATGCAGATGACATAGTCTTATTTGGTGAAGACGCTGACAAAATGCAGAGTCTTCTGACCACTCTAAGCAACAATGCAAGCATGTTCGGGATGCGATTCTCTCCCTCGAAATGCAAAATGTTGCTTCAGGATTGGGTTACATCGACACCCGAACTAGTGATAGGGAGTGAAGTAGTTGAGTGTGTCGACCGCTTCACTTATCTTGGAAGTCTCATCAGCCCTTGTGGTTTGGTGTGTGACGAAATCTCAGCACGGATACAGAAGGCTCGACTAGCTTTTGCCAACTTGCGTCATTTATGGCGTAGGCGAGATATCCGTCTATCAACCAAAGGACGTGTTTACTGCGCAGCAGTTCGTTCCGTCCTACTTTATGGCAGTGAAACATGGCCGGTAAGAGTAGAGGATATTCGTAGGTTACTAGTATTTGATCATAGGTGTCTTCGAAACATTGCTCGTATATCATGGGACCATCGAGTAAGTAACACAGTTGTTAGGAAACGGGTACTAGGTAAGGATGGCAAATCAATTGATGACGTAGTGGAACTTCATCAGTTGAGATGGCTGGGACACGTGTTACGTATGCCCTACGACCGACTGCCTCGACGTGCTATGTTCAGTGGTATAGGAGTAGGTTGGAAGAAAGCTAGGGGCGGCCAAACCAAAACATGGCACAAATCCATGAAGTCACTGACAAGTGGACTGAGTCATGTTGGTAGGTGTAGACTACCTGGTTGGGGACCGCGAGATGATAGCAACCGATGGTTAGAGACCCTGAATGACATGGCTCAAAATCGTTTGCAATGGCGCAGGTGCATCCACTCTCTGTGTTCTCCCAAACTCTAATCTTCTGAATTCTTCATGTCCCTTTTTTCCTCTTTCCAAATTTCTTTCACTGTATTATACTCTTTAAATAACATCTCCAAACCCTAATCTTCCCGATTACTACTTATACTCTTATTACCTCTATCACTACGGGATTTGAATCGACAAGTGCATCTCTGTGCTAATGTGGTGTGGCAACTCGAACTGATGTACGTACGTACGAAGTTCTACGTTGTTACTGACTGACTGACTGGGCGATTCTAGAAAGGATAATGACTCACCAATCGGAGTAAAGCCCTTGCAAATGAAATAGGCATCTCGAAACAAACGATAAGATTACAGATAATATGAAGTCAGGGAATACTAGTAGCATAACTCTACTATCTTTCAAGCAGCATAAGTCTGACCATCCTTAACTTAATTCTTCTGTAGTAACACCACTGCACTCCACAGCTTTCCTGACTATTACTTGGTGTGAATTTTTTAATAGTCAAATATTCTT